AAAGAGTTGTAAGGTCCAAAGTCATAAGACCATTTGCTTTCTTTATGGCTGTAACCTTTGGTTGCCACTCCCTGGTAAGACATCTTAAGACTTTATTAGTAGCTACATCATTGGAAATCGGTCTACCAAGTGAATTTAGTCTATTGATTAAATAAGAAAATATCTTTTGCATGTCGACAATGGTTTTCCCTTACTTCTTGTGAAAGAGATCAAACTCTTGAGTCAAAGTGGTTATTCTAGCTAGTTTAACATCATTAGTTCCCTCATGGACAACTTGCAATGAGTCCCACATAGCTTTAGCAGTCATACAATGTAAAAATCTATAATATTCATCAACTCCTAAGGAGGAGATTAGAATATTTCTAGCCTTTCAATCGTAATTGTATTTTTTTCTCATCTTCATCATTCCATTATGCTTCAAGCTTAGGCACAACAACGTTATTTTCATCGGTCATGGTAATTTTCATAGAATCGTTCAATATTAACGTTTCATACCTGTCAATGGAATTTATATGCACACGCATGCAATCTTTCCAGTAACTATAGTTCTCACCGTTGAAAACAGGTGCTATATTGTAAGCCCCTTTTGGTTCGGTTGCCATATTCTAAGAAGTTATATGCAAAGCACGAAATGAACTGGTGCTCTTGATACCACTTGTTATACGAAGACACTGATCTAGAAGGGGGGTTGAATAGATCACTTATTAAAAATAGAGTCGGCGCTTATTAAGATTTGGATTTTAAAAAGTTTTAAGTGGAAGCGACCGAGGAACTATACTCGTCTAAGCAAACTGTTACCAAAAAGATCAGATATACGCAAAGCCTATATGGAGTACCGATAAAGATGAGAATTAGAATAAATAGTTTGAACATAAATCAATCAGATTTTGTTCACTTAAAGTTGAACATTTTCTAATATGTGTGAAATATAAACCAATTGAAAAACAACTCAAGTGTTTGTGTTCACCCAATTAGTAGAACACTTGGTGTGCGAAGCACCTCAAGTAAATTTCAATAGGTGAATGAAGTGCTATGTTCTTCAATTACAATCAAAAGATTGTAATGAGGTTTCTAAAAATGTTTCAACACTAACACACACCAGAAATTTTAATCAACTAATATGTTTGCACACAAACTCAAAATTCAGCAATGAAAATAGTAAAAAGAGAGAACACCAATTTTTTTAGGCGGTTCCCCTGTCGTCGTCGCTCGGGGTACGTCTGCCCTTAATTCTAAAAATAGAATTGAGTCCTGTATACTTAATCAGTTGCAAATTTTTTTTTACAAGAGAAGCAATAGAATTCAAACAATCAAACCCAAATGTTGATGTCGAGCCTATGCCTTTTCTCCCCTTGATTCAAGATGAATCAAGTCCTTCGAATGTGATGAGTAAACCTCCGATTATGACACCACCTTTGAACAATCCTCTGGTCTTCAAATCTTGCCGGGATGATTTCAAACACCAACGATTCAAACCCAAATCTTCCTACCACAATCCTCCGGTTAACGCTACTAAATTGACAGAATCTCTCGTTCTTCAATTACCTTCGCTCGACTGAATATGCGAAGGAACGATTTGTGCAAAACCCCCAAAATCCAAGATTCTTGGAGGACAAAACCCTCAAGGATTTATTCAAGAAAAACCCACTGATTTCTCAATCCAAACCCGATACACCAATCCTAAGTTTGGACATTACCACCTCGATGATGCAGAATACACAACAAAAATGATTATGTGTAGTTGTTGAGAAAATGTAAGAAAGAGGATGAAGATGATGAGAACCAAATTAGTGTATATTTTCACTTTTCTTGTTTTTTGTGAAGAATGAACTGACTCAATATATATGCAAAGTTGAAACCAAATAACCAACATAACAACCACTTAGAATGTTAAACATAACAAAATTTTTGTGAGAAACGCGCAAGCGGTTGACCTAAAACAAGGGGAGGGTCGACCTGAGCTCTCCCGGATTCAGGATTATGAAGGAAACAACTCTTTGCATCGACCGGAATAGGTCCATGCATCGACACAAAGCACCCCAATTTTGACAAGCACAAACGCGCACAGTATGAGTCGACCGAATGGTCGACACGAGCTCTTCTAAGAGCAAGACATTTAAATTGACTTCTGTATAAGTCGACCTAAGTAGGATATGAGTAGACTCAAAGACTCCGAACTTGCAAAAATGCATATTTTTATATATTTAGCTACTTCTAAGAGAACCTAATGCATCTCTAACTTGACCAACATGATCAAACTCTTATAGAACACACATAATGTTCTTTCTATAAGTACCTAGACATGTTTTAACAAATGTTTGACACAAGAAAGATAATGTATGCATATGCGACTCGATGATACCGTCCAAAGTACATTTTTTAAACTATATATGTTTTGACATCATTAAAACAAGTATAACCAAGTATGAAGCAATTTGCTCTCACAAGGGTGAATTATGAAATTCTAAATTCGAGAATAATACATAAAAACTTTTATTTTTGAAAATATTTATATTAGTATATATATAAATAAATAGAGATATAATAGTAGAAAGCTAGAAAGAAGATGAAGAAGAAGATAGATATGCGGCAGAAAGAAAGTAAACAACGGAAAATAGAGAATGGATAGAGAGATTACAATAGAGATTTATATATGTTTGACCTAATCACTTGCCATACTCCTATCTCCAAGAATTTCCTTTTAAATTTCCACTAAAATCAAACTTGGAGCTTTTACCAAAGATCAACCCGCAAACCATCTAACAAACATAACTTATACACAGGCTTAACTAAAGAACCTTCACCCAATTTTTTTTTAGGTTTAGCTTGCAACCTTAACATTCTTATTGAAGATATTATTCGAGAGAATCACACTCTTGAATAAAATAGATAAAACACAACACAAGAAAAACACAACTCTCAGGAATACTTTTCAGTCTTTTGAAAATTTTAGTGAAAACAAATTTCAAAAAGAAAGAGAGTAGAAAAACAGTATAGAGGTTTTTGTTCAGAAATATGACATGTGATGAAATAAGGGAAACCTCCTTTATGTATAAAAAGATTTGTCTCAAAAAAGAAAGTGATCTATGGGCTAAATAAACGAGTTAATCGATAAAAATATCCTTTAATCAATTAAAACAACCATAAAAATGACAACCCTAATATAAAAAAGGAAATCCAAAAATGACTATACGTTTTAAATGATTAATGAATTTTCTAACAAATTAAAAAGCATTTGTCTTTGCTTTAATTGATTTTACCTAAGTCTTAATTGATTAGGGAGTAAGTTAGCTTTGCTAATCGATTAGAAGCATTTCTTAATTGATTTCGTACTTGCGTGAACTAGTTTTCAAGAAGTTTCCTAAAATTAGAAGTTGATTGAAAAGTATTCTGTGTGTGAGATTTGCTTAGTACCTCAAGACATACTTTTGTGCCTTTTGTAATAAGTTGATTACTCTTGTCCCATTCAACATCGTTTCGTTCTCCTTGCCCGAAATCGTCATGTTGTTCGTCTTTCTTCTACAACCCTCCATCTTAGTCATTCTGCTACTTTCCCCGACCGAATAATTCTTATATCAACAATAGCTTTGCAACCCGTTCAGAGATTTATAGTTTAACTTTTCATCTTCTTCATCAACTCTATAATGTTCAGAATTGCTTGACATTCGACTGCTGTAGGGTTTCCGTAACCCTTTTATTCCATTTTTTAATTAATGATATATGAGATAATTTAGTTTGGTAAAAAAAGTAATGGTTGATATTTTTTATATTACTACTAGGACTATTTGATCAATGATATATGAGTTAGTTTTTATTTAGTCAAAGAAAAAAACTTGGGAAAGAAAATAAAGTCACATTTGTTAAACATAGTAAAATTTCTTAAATATAATTAAAAAAGAAAAAGAAATTTTGGATTTATAACACGGTACTCGGTACATAATAATATAATTTGAATATGTAGGGGTAGGGATGGAAATGAGTCGAGTCGAGTCGAACTCACCTCAGCTCGGTTCGACTCGTTAAGAATTATTCGAATTCGAGTTCGAGTTCGAGTTTGACACGAACTTTTTTTAAGCTCAAACTCGACTCGTTATAAGTTCACGAACAGTTCGGTTCGACTCGTTAGGTTCATCTCATTAGGTTCAGCTCACATGGTTCACGAACTTAAAAACTATTTTTTTAAATATATATATTTTTAGTATATTTGACATTTTAAATAAATATATATATTTTAAATAATCTATTAAAATAAAATAAAAGTTATCATATTGAAATTTAACTTTATCTTCGAAATCTACTAATTCAAAACCTACACAACTTTCAAGAGATACATTTGAGAGTCTAATTCAAAAACTACTAAATTGAAGATTAAATTTGTCTAAGATTTGAAGTAAATATTTAAACCTAATCTTAAAGACAGTATAATTCTTTTCATATGTAGTCGAGTTGACTCATGAACCTAACGAGTCGAACTATGTATAGTTCAAGTTCAGCTCATTTAGTTAACGAACTTAATTTTTCGCTCATACTCAACTCATTTGGTTCATGAACCTAGTTCAACGATTTAATTATCGATTCGAATTTCGAACTATCTTCGAGTTGATTTGGTTCATTGCCAGCCCTATGTAGGGGTATGCCACTCCCATGTAATAAATAGATGAAAATAACAATAGCCCCATTTGAATTGAATTTCCAGTGAAATAGTTCCCCACATAATAACTTATTTGCCAAATTCAAATTCACAAGCTTCATCAAATCAAAATTCAACTTCCTGTCAAAAACAAAAGCACTTGAATTTCTCACCTGAAATTCTCTTCTCTTCCTATTATTAGACCATATAAATATAAACACGCATAAGCTACAAGCTTTTCAAATCACTTTTTTTTCAACTTATTTGCCGTGCTTTTATCTTCTGCCTAGCGCATTTCAATTTTCTCTTCACTCTTTAAAACTTAACTTGTTTAAGAGGGAAGTGAAACGACGACAACAACAACAACACAATGAAGAATCATCATTATCACATTTTTCTCTTCACATTTTTCACCTTATTTTGTATAACTCAATCCTTTGATTATGCTGATGCACTCTCTAAAAGCCTCCTTTACTTCGAAGCTCAACGCTCCGGGAGGTTGCCGTATAACCAACGCGTCAATTGGCGCCACCATTCCGGCCTCACCGATGGTCTAGAACAAGGGGTGAGAGTGAGATCAAATTGTTACCTTCATTTTTTCACTTGACAATTGTGATTAAGTTTTTACTGTTCAGGTGGACTTGGTTGGAGGATACTATGATGCAGGTGATCATGTGAAATTCGGTTTACCAATGGCATTTACTGTCACAATGCTGTCATGGAGTGCTATTGAATATAGGCAACAGATTATAGAAGCCGGTGAGCTTCGACATGTGATGGAAGCGATTAAATGGGGAACTGATTATTTCATCAAAGCTCATACTAGCCCTAATGTGTTATGGGCAGAGGTATAATCATTATTACTTAACTCAATTTTGATGTGATGGCTGCGAAAATATCTCTAATTTAAGGTATACTTAGGTGGGTGATGGAGACACTGACCATTATTGCTGGCAACGTCCGGAGGATATGACAACTTCAAGAAGAGCATTTAAGATAGATGAGAAGAATCCAGGTTCAGATCTGGCTGGAGAAACTGCTGCAGCTATGGCAGCTGCTTCCATTGTGTTTAGGAAAACTGATCCACATTACTCTCAACTACTTTTGCACCATGCTCATCAGGTATAGTATAGTATAGTACTAGTGTTTGGTTTGGTGGGTTTGTTTTAAATATCAGCAATAATTGCTTTAACTTCTCCATTTTAAGTACCTTTAACTTTAAGAGGATAGTAAAGTATGCAAATTAGTACTTGTTTATGCTTTTGATTTGAGTTAGTGGCTCTCATTATTGTTCTATCTAAGTTACTTAAATGTTGTTAGCTTGGTGTTCGATAAAATTACAGAGACGCTGTAATTTTGTAAAAGATACATTTTGTTTGTAACTTCAACAAAGTTATGACGCCGTTGTGATTTTGTCAAATTCACTGTGATACCAAAAATGTCGGTTATTTTGGTCTTGATTAGTTTCGTGATTAGACGTGTCTTTTATTATTCTATGAGTAGATGTTTGAGTAGTTATAGGTGACAATTAATTAAATTTAAAACATGAGAGTAAAGGATTTGATTGTAATTAGTTTGTTTTAGTAATTGAAAGCAATGCTTGTTTAATGAGTTAGTTATGTTTGTACTATTGTGTAGCTGTTTGAGTTTGGGGACAAGTACAGAGGAGAATATGATGGAAGTGTTGGAGTAGTGAAAAACTACTATGCGTCGGTGAGTGGATATATGGATGAGTTATTGTGGGGAGCTATGTGGCTGTATAAGGCCACCGACAGAGAACATTATTTTGACTACATTATTTCTAAGGCTCATACCTTTGGTGGTATTGGTTGGTCCATTACAGAATTTAGCTGGGATGTTAAATATGCTGGTCTTCAAATCATAGCATCAAAGGTACTAATAAAAACAAAAGGTTTTCCTTTAATCACTCCTTTTTGTCTCATTTCACATTCCTCTAGGTAACTCTAATTCTAATAGGTCATGTTTTATGGTCCAGTGCCTTTTGCTTTTATATGGTTTTGTTTTTAAGAGAGTGTGTGTTTTGGGTTTTTATTTTCAAACACTTTGATTATTTGTTTTTGTCTTCTTTTTTCAATCAATGGCTTATTTCTCGGTAATATTGCCTGCATATAGCTTTATTAACCTGAAGTCAAAACTTAAATGATGGGTTTAAGACTTAATTTTTCTTGTTCTGTTTACTTTACTTTCAAAAGTCATTTATCATTGATTTGATGGAGCACAATATCTAAGTTATATTGTGAATAGAAGTTGAAAATTTGAAAGGTATATTCAAGAACAAAGCCATGTGCAATTGATCACACTTCAATTAAAGTGCTCAGGCTATGCTTGTGCCAAATGTTGAAATTTCAATGGTGGCAGCAATGCATCCCTAAGAACATGCTATAACTAATATTTATTGTGTGAATAATGCTTATATAAAAAAATATAAAAAACAACAAAATCTTTATTGAAGTTATTATCTTAAATTTTAATTGATTATATCTGTTGTTAAATACTCAGAGCATGCATGTATAGATTTCATTCCACTTACATATACATGCATTAACTGTCAAAAATGTAATAATGAACACCATTGATTGCTTATCTGATTGATAGTATATCTCAACTCTCTACCTTTCAACTCATCATGAGGCAAGCTATTACTTTAATGCATGGCCCACGTTCAAAAAACCCTTTTTTTGTCTTCTTCCAAGTTTTTGCAATAAATCAGTTGGATCCATTGCAAAATTGATAGAGCATATTTTGGTCACTTGGAATAGTACTAATTCCCTTATTTACAAAGGTCTATACCTATATGCATGTTCAGAAGAAGAAAGTTTCAGGGTTCATTCATTATGTTGGTAGTAATGCACAATGATTGATGGTGGATGGAAACATGTGACACATTGTTCACATGCACTGTCATTGATCCACCTGTTATTTTGGGCTTTAAGAGTTATGTTATAAATTGATTGTGATTATCTTTTGCAGTTTTTGATGGATGAAAAACACAAGAAACATGCTGATATACTAGAACAGTACAAATCAAAAGCAGAGTACTATATATGTTCATGTCTCAACAAAAACAATAGAAGCAGCAATGTGGAAAGAACACCAGCTGGATTACTCTATGTAAGAGAATGGAACAACATGCAATATGTTTCAACTGCATCATTTCTACTCACAGTTTACTCTGACTTTCTCAAAAGTGAAAATCAAAAGCTCAATTGTCAAAATGGAATTGTGGGCCATGAAGAGATTCTAAGTTTTGCTAAGTCACAAGTTGATTACATTTTGGGTTCAAACCCACTTAACATGAGCTACTTAGTGGGCTATGGGCCTAAGTATCCCAAAAGGGTGCATCATAGAGGTGCATCCATTGTATCATATAAAGAGAATAAAGGGTTCATAGGGTGCACACAAGGTTATGATAATTGGTATGGTGTCCAAGAACCAAATCCTAATATTTTGGTTGGAGCTTTGGTTGGAGGACCTGATAATGAAGACAATTTTGTGGATCAAAGGAACAATTATGTGCAAACTGAGGCTTGCACTTATAATACTGCTCCATTAGTTGGAGTTTTTGCAAAATTCTTGCAAATAGGGAATAGAAGTCTGGTTCAGGATTCTGATTCACTTTTAGTTGCTTCCTTTTGAATGCTATATATAGAGTGAAAGAACTATAGATATTATTATCACAAGTCAATTAAATTTTTCATAGATTTTGTTACTCCTTATTATCTGAGTGATATTTTGGCTTAAAGCAAATGTGTTTTCTTTATAAACAAATTTGTATAAATTTGTCAGATATTATAGCGGAGAAGATTGATTCTGGTAAATTTTTGACTTGTTAGTACTTGCAGAGTCGTTGGTCCTTATCAGCATATAAATGCATTCGGATTCAACGACTTTACGGTCGCTACGCATATGGGTCCAAATAAATTTCAGAATCAGAATACATGAATATTAGCTACCAACTATTTTTTTCACTTATTGAAAATAAGGATGATGTACCATAACTCAATCTTAGATGAATATTCGCTATCAACTATTTTTTCTAAATTTAATAGGTACTTTAAAACCTTCTCATCATTTGTTTATCTAAATGCAAAGGTAATATGACTTTATAATAATCTTCTCATTAAATTTTTTAATGTTTTCGCTCTAATCACAATAGACAATTTGTAGAGAATTTAATTTTCCGTCTCTCATTTTGTCAATAACTAAATTTTTGGTAATAGATCAGTAAATAAAAAAAATATTTTTTTTTGTTGTTTGAAGTCGGCAGGATTATCTACGAATTTGTGTAGCAATTGTACGATGTTCTTCACTATAAACAAATTATGTTTTTTATGTAACAAGTTTAAATTAAAAAATTTTATGACCTAATATGATATTAATAATATACTTTTTATGTGTGATGTAAACGACAGATATTTGAGAATCGAGCTGAAATATTAGTCTGGGCACAACATATTGGCAAGCAACATGATATTATAGTTGTGACTATTCGTTCTGATATTACAAATGGCCATCGAAGTAGGAAAGATAAATTGATTATGAGTTGTGAGAGAGGAGGAAATTATAAAAAGAAAAATACATCTGAAAGTAGTAAATCTTCAGAGGAAATTTATAGTATGAAAGTGAGATGTCCTTTTAGGCTGAGATCTTCGCTGAGTGGTATTGGTTGGAAGGTGATGGATAGGTGTGAGTTTCACAATCATAAACTATTTGAAGATTTAGATGGTCATGACATATTGGGTCGTCTAAAAGATCATGATAGACAATTTGTGAATGATACGACGAAGTACAACATGACTCCACAGTACATAATTTCTACCTTGAAAGACAAAGATCCAAAAAACCTCACCAGTGTTACCCAAGTGTATAAAGCTAGAGTTACATACAATGCGAGCAAGAGAGGTACATTGACGAAAATGTAAATGTTGTTACTCTTATTCATAGAGAAAAATAGATGTGTTGGACAAAAAATAGAGAAGACTCAAATGTTGTTGTTGATATCTTCTAGACACATGTTGGTTTAGTAAAGTTGTTGAATATGTTTCACTTGGTGATTTTTTATTGTACATACAAGACAAATAGGTAATGTGCATCTTGGTCATACGTTGATATCCTTTCGATATACTTTGATTTATCAGATTTTTGATTATTTGAATCGTGAACATACAGGTACTGATTACCACTACTTGAGATTGTTGGCGTTACGTCAACAAAGTTGACGTTTTTCGGAAGGGTTTACCTATTTGGAACATGAAAGGGAGGAGAACTTCACATGGGAACTGGAGAAGCTCAAAGAATTATTCTCTTCCGCGAAATTGCTACTGAATGTTGTTGTGACTGACCGATAACTTGCGTTGATGAATGCAATTGAAGTTGTGTTTTCAAATTCAACACATTTGTTATGTTCGTAACATATTATAAAAAAAGTTAGCATGAAATGTAAAGAGTGTGTTAAATCATAAAAACATGAACATGTCATGGATCTATGGAACAACATCATGTATGCTAATAGAGAAACTGGATATCTCGCACACTTGAAGCACTTTGAGACTGTTTGTGCTGATATTCTTTTGTTTGTTAAGTATGTGATTGAAACATGGTTGAAGCCTTATAAAGAAATGTTTGCGGCTACTTGAACTAACAAAGTCACTCATTTAGAGAACACAACAACGAACAGATACACAGACTTCTTTTTAATGTTATTACTAAGCATAATTTATCATGTTGGCTCATTATTGATTAATTATTGTAATTTAGGGTGGAGTCTACTCATTGGAGACTGAAAAACATGTTGACTACAAGCCGAGGAGATTTATGCCGAAGTTGGGATGTTGTGAACACCATGATGAAGTTGCAGCTAGGTTCAATCAGGGTGTCGTTTCAAAAACGTATTATCAACATTGAGCATTTGTATAACACTTCATTCTATGTCAACTTGCACGATTTTGTTTCAAGGCAGTGTATACGACACATAGGGAATGAGCTAGAAAGGGCAAAATTTGTTGGTACAAACAAGGATATTTGTGGTTGCTTCATTAGAAATACACATGGGTTACCTTGTGCGTGTCAAATTACTGGTTTCCAAATACAAGGCTTGCTTGTTCCTTTAGAACCAATTCATGTTTTTTTGGAAGAAATTACACATTCAAGAGCATGCTAGCGGTCATGACAATAATGGCACAAAGTTGGATTTAAAAGCAGAGTGTAAAAAGATGACAACATATTTTAAATCTTTGGATATTGTAGGCCAGAGGGTGTTGAAGACAAAGGTTCAGGAATTAACACATTCATCCACAACTTCTATGTGTCCATCATCGGTGATGTACAAGCCAAAGAGGGGAGTTAAGAAGAGCATAAAAGGTGAAGAGAGTGATGTGCATCGTGATCCCTTACAGTGGGAGTATGGTGAGGGCTTGTATGGGAGTCATACTACAAAGAGATCATGCACGAAACCAACAGGAATTCAACCTTCAAGTATGTCGGGTCAAAGTCAATCGTCCACTGTATCTTCGAGGCATTTTTACTTGTCTTAGTTTCCTAGTTTCTTGCATCCATACATTTATGACATGGTTGATATGGGTGACAATGAAAATTATGATTTTTGGGCTATTGCAACTTTACTTGGATGGGGACGAAGAGTTATGGTTGTTGGTCCGGATGCAGTAAGATACTCAAGTTCATCAACACCCAAAATTATTTTCCAATTTGTTCTATGACATGGTCTCTAATGTTAGAAATTTCTTAAAAGTAGAACACTTGGGTGTGCAGAGTCGAGAAAAATAGATATTGATTTTTGATGTAGATTACCTTATTGCATGTAGGTACAATGTTGTATTTGTCTTCCTGTCACAGAGACTTAACATTATCTTTTTCCCTCTTACCATAACTCCACCTATGTATACGAGCAAGTATAAAATCATTGTTGTTGGTTTTGTCAACGACAATCATTGGGTTCAGGTAAAATTAAAACCGGATAGTCCATTGACTCCCGTCACTGACCATTGGAGACAGAACTGTGCTAAAGATGCAAAAGTATGAGAATCAACATATGCATGTCAAATTAGGCATTGGTAGGATGAAGTTAGGAATTCATCCTAATTTTCTTTGTAATTTTGTGGACATTATGTATTTATTATATGTGAAACGATTTATGCAGGTCGATGTGTCAAAAATATAGAAATTATTATTTTTTTGAAATTCTGGTTGCATACTAGAAATTTTGAATTTATGAAATTTCTAAAAGGTTTGGCCATTTTACGTAATTATCATATTTTCGGTATAACTTCATCGGAAATTTTGAAATTTTCGGTATTGGCTACTGAAAATTTCAAAATTTATGGTATGTGTCTCACATGAACGTTGCACCACGGTTAATTTTTTTAAAATTTTCGATATAATTACGAAATTTGTAGTATACCATTGTAAATTTCATAATTTTACAAAAATTTTGAAGGGCAAAAAGGTAATTTCGCAATAATTGGGGGTGTTAGGTTAAATCCTCCAATTTATACTAGTATAGCTCAAATCATACGATCTAAACAATTTAAAATTCCTTTTATATCTTATATCCAAAATATATTTTACTGAGACAATTCTATTTGTGAAGAAGAGTTCTTCTTGTGCTTGGTTATAGTTTTGATGAAGACAAACACATCAACAAAAAGAAGTCAAAGCTTGAAGACTAGAGCAATCAAGTTCAAATTATCAAAAAGTTTTGAAAAATTAATGGAAGAATCAAGATGGTTGAATATGCATTATAAGTCAAGTATATATATCTTAATTACTTATAAAGAATCACGCATATTCATCTTAAACCTTTCATGAATCTTTTAAAATTATTTTTAAATTAACTATTATGTTTTCAGTAAGTTATGGCATTTCAACCCGCCGTAAAAGCACTTTAAAACCACCACAATTTTCACAATTTTCTCAAAACGTAAAAATACTTTAAATTTTGAAAATGTATCAGGTGTAATCGATTAACCATTATAGTTTAACTAATTAACACTGAACCAGTGGTACTTTTTCATACAAATTCTGATCCAAACAAATTTTTGAGTGCATATATGAACCATGGCATCTTTTCATGTATTCATACACTTTTAGAAAGATGTTAAGGCTCTATATAAACCATACTTTTTAGAATTCAAACTCATCTCTCTTTCATAGCAATTCAAAACTTATATTCTCTCATTTTCAAAATCAAGTGTTCTTGACATAACTTTTTGTTGAAACTTCTGCACATCAATTTTATTACATTTTCAAATAATTTCAACTACATAAATCATTAAACAGTTGTACTACATATTAAGAATTTCCTACTTGGTAGAGAATATCAATTCTAGGAATTGATATACATTGTTATACAACTTCAAACACTTGTAAAAATTCAGATTGTTGTGATTTCCTTGCTGTCCAGGATAGTTGAAAGCAAGAGATTGAATAAGGGAGGATTGTTTTCTTGTTTCACTTTGTAAAGATCATAAGGGGATTGTCATTTTTGATTTTGTTGCTTATGTTAGAAGATTGTAGTACAGGTCTTTGTGGAATACTTGAACAAAAATCTGACATAGTGGAATCTCTCACGGGGAGTGAGGGGACTGGAGTAGTCTCGGGTTGTGAGGGAAACTAGGATA